CCATAGAAAATACAAAGTACCCATAGAAAATACAAAGTACCCATAGAAAATACAAAGTACCCACAGAAAATACAAAGTACCCATAGAAAATACAAAGTACCCATAGAAAATACAAAGTACCCATAGAAAATACAAAGTACCCATAGAAAATACAAAGTGGAATAAAAAATGCTAAGTGTACCTATGGGCCTTCCTATAAGTTAACAATATTGACGTGAAAAAAAATGCGCAAGAATACAAGTTAGTCAACAAAAGCCATTTGTCTGCAAAGTATATTGCAAACGAATCATCAACTATATATTTCATAACGTCAAAGATTATTTATTTCATACGTTACCGTATCAAAAGGCAGAAGCGTCAACCATGGAAACCATGATGCAAATTAAAAAAAAATAACTTAGGGGACAAATACCGTTAATATTAATTTCGGTGTCTTTTAACCCAAAATCATATTTGAAAAAGGTGATTCATTGGTTTCTACCAGTCCCGCACAAATAGGGTGATATTTGACCCAAATTTGATGACTTTCCACCAGGAGTCTGGCGTGACGTAATAGGTCCTTTCAAGGACATTATACACAGAGTATAATGTCCTTGGTCCTTTTAATCTAATTAACTCTATAGCATATATATGTCCTTCGGATAAAATATGACGAATGTCGTGATTATAGAAGGACTGACATGCTGACAACAGCCTACGGAATTCTCTCTCAGGTGATTATTCGTCCTCTGGCTTCTCTTTATCCATTTCTTTTCGAAGAGATATTCTTTCATGTACTAATGTTAACAGAGTATGTGTGATTTCATGGTCAGTTGATTAGATTAAGAGGACCCATTACGTCACCACAGCCTCCTGGTGGAATAGGGAGTCATCAAACGTGAACATTGATTTGGGTCAAATATCACCCCTATCTGGACTGGTAGAAACCAATGAATCACCTTTTGTACAAATAGGATTTGGGGTTAAAAGACACAAAAACTAAAATTTGTTATTTAAGCAATAGACTATCCTTTGCACAACCACACTCACCGAAGTGTACCCGCTGGTTGCCTTTACTGCTGAGTGACAGTTGAATGTAGCTGGGCGTGTCCCCGTCCGCTGGATTCTCCACAAAATCAAAGCTGTACTCGAACTTCTCCTTCTTCATGTCTCCTCCAAAGTCCTGGAAACATATTGACCAATCAGAAGGCTCCATCCCACATTCCTTATGACGCCGTAATGTCACAAATAGAGTCAAAACCGGGTCTTTAATCATCCCAACCCATACATTAAACAATCCAATAATCACCCGCATATGACCTCAGGTGACCCAAATAGAACACCGCTCTGTTCTAAAAAAATCCAAAAATAACTTGAGTTGTGCTGTGCTGTGTTCCAATGACCCCGGGTGACTCCCATAAGAACACCTGTTCCCTGCCTTTGACCCAAATAGAACACGACCCTCTCCAGTGACCTCAGGTGACTCCAGATGGAACTTTGTTCTATTTAAGTTTGTATGTGTTATACAGGAATGTGTCACTCTTTATTGTGTAAGTTTTGATAGGCTATATGATAATAGCATTAATGGTCCGCCATTTCTTGGTGAATATGGTGTGATAAAGCCTTGTCAGTTGCTATAACCACCGAATAAAGCCACTGAGTGAGCGCAGACTTGTCAGTTGCTATAACCACCGAATAAGCCACAGAGTGAGCGCAGCGAACGAGGTGGCTTTATGAGATGGTTATAGCAACTGACAAGGCTTTATCACACCATATTCACAGGGAAAGGGCGGGTCATTAACCATTAATTAATCTACTATCAGTAATCCACGACAGTGGATATGGACACACCTGATTCAGACGACAGATGAGGTTATCTCGTAACCATGGTGACCACTGGGCATCGTATGCCTTGGACAGGGCCTCTGGGTCAGTGTTCATGTCCAGCCCTAGTACGAACCTGTCCTGAGCTGCAATGAAAAAAAAAATCGGAGACCTCAAATCCCTCCATGGAATATGAAAACTTTTGTGTAAAAGAGCCTTTAACGTTATGTCTACGTCTGTTGTTCTCAAGTTGTCAAAACACGGCGGGAGTCACCTAATTAATAATTTAAATGATAAGTGAAACTGAAGTGATATTCTCCAAACAGATTCATTCAACGAAATTGGCTACCCGAATTACCATTTGCCCCTGGACGGTTGGCCAATGGTTACATTCGGCCAATGGTTACATTCGGCCAATGGTTACAGGCGGCCAATGGCAATAGTTGCAGGCAGCCAATGGTTACACTGTACATTCGGCCAATGGTTACATTCGAATTCAACCAATGGCAATGGTTGCAGGCGGCTAATGGTTACCTTCGGCCAATGGCAATGTTTGCAGGCAGCCAATGGTTACATTCGGCAAATTGTTACAGGCGGTCAATGGATGCAGGCGGCCAATGGTTACAGGTGGCCAATGGTATTCGGCTAATGTTACATTCGGCCAATGGCAATGGTTGCAGGCAGCCAATGGTTACATTCGGCAAATAGTTACCTTCAGCCAATGGCATTGGATGCAGGCAGCCAATGGTTACATTCGGCAAATAGTTACCTTCAGCCAATGGCATTGGATGCAGGCAGCCAATGGTTACATTCGGCAGGCAGCCAATGGTTACATTCGGCAAATGGTTACCTTCAGCCAATGGCATTGGATGCAGGCAGCCAATGATTGCAGGCGGCCAAAGGTCACAGGAATATTCTTGGAGATTAAAACTGAAGACACTCACCACCAAGCTGCATCCTGATGTCCGTCATCATCTTCAGCTGGTCCGTGATCGCGACGTTACTGAAGCTGCTGCCAAGGAACAACAGCATCTTGGCCTCAGGTCGGGCCGCAACGTGCCGGATCCCGTCCATGTACAGTCCGCCGAACGGCTCCACACTCAGCCCGGGGTACTCACTCTCCAGCTCCCGCCCACAGTCCTCGATAAACTCTGTGTAGAACAAGAACAACAAACAAACAAACAGGCCGAAAAGGCGTGAGTTTTGTGACCTGTCTACTTACAGTTTAAGCAACTTGATCATGAGTGTGTCCATGGTGTATATGTAGGAGCATGTGTTATTTTGTGAAAAGTATAGCCTGGTATCCAGTCTGATTCGTGGAAGGGGCCACAAGAGCTCTGTCCCGCCCGCCTCAAATAGGTTTCCCGGTGTGTATTTCACGAGAGATTGATTAGCCATCTCCTCGTGCTGGGGGAAACCAAATCCCCAAGCATACTGTCTCTTATTAGCGTAACACTCCTACCGGGTCGGCCTGTTGCACTGGTCGGGGGAAGCTATTAGAGCCCCCGAAGGCACAACCTGCCTGAACACCCCAATACCCCCGCCCAATGACGTAAGACTGGATACCAGGCTAGGAAAAGTCTACTAAAAGTAGATTGTAAGCTTCGTTGTAAAAGCTAGTCCACGCTGACATCTACATCTACATAATACAGGACACTGGTACCTCACGGCACATCGCGTCCTGGGAAAGAAGGTGCAGCTGGTGTGGGATGTGTTTGTGTGTGTAGTCGTTTGTGTGGGCCCCAAAAAGTGGACGCGTACTCCAGTTTGGGTCTTACAATAGACATGCATGCTTGGGCTCTGATTGCTCTACTTGCCCCCCCCCCCTTAGATTCTTTCCTAAGTAACCCAGGGTGCTGTTGGCTTTTGCTGTAACAGTTATGTAGTCAATGTGTGCATTCCATTTCAACTTATGTGAGATTATGATACCTAGGTACGGGTGCTGTGTGTTGGTTTCAAAGGGTTCTGAAAAAATGTGTATAAGTGTTTGAAAACTCTTTCATACTTGTGTATATGAATGATGGAGCATTTCTTCACATTGATATGATTCCGATAGAACACCTTAACCTCCCCTTGATACACCAAGCTAGCTACATGTAGAGCCTATGCTACTGTTACCCTTGGCTATGTCCACTGGCACAAATGTGAAGTTTCCGTGCCGCTTCAACATAGCCTCTATAATCAGGCGGGTTTTCGAGGAAGCTCCACTCCCGAGCTCCACGAGAACGGCTGGGGACGAGATCTTGCTAGAGATCTCGTCCCCATGGGTCTTTAGCAAACTGTACTCGTGCTCCCACAGTTTGTAGGTTCGTGAGTTATGTACCAGTCTGTGGAAACGGACAAAACAATCAAGCCAGGGAAAAGGTTACGTCATCTCCGAGCAGATGTATGGCTTCGGATTTCATGGTGTTCGGTGAAAAAAAAAACACGTCGAACACTTCAAGACCGAATGACACCAAAAAAAGTCTGTAAAATACGTACAAATACCGGAAGTACACATACAATATAGTCACTTGAAGTTTGTTCCAATCATGATGACTGAGAAATTGAGTTTGTACAGCCTTCTAAAAGTGACTTTAGCAAGCTTCCCAATCGCCAACTTCGGGCATCTCTATTTACATATCTATGTTTTATTTTTGCATTTCTGTGTTTTTTCCTGAGCTGACATCACTGGATGACATCAGCTCAGGAAAAATACAGACATGCAAAAATAAAATGTAGAGATGGAAATCGCCTGCCAGTAGTGGATTGTGCTGACTTTTCCAAGGTAGGGCATTAAAATTTCGAATGTAACAGGAGAACCGTGCATATTTATTGTAAATGTGTCTGTTAGACAGGTAATACTAGTTATGTCAAGTACAATCAGCTTAAGTCATATTTTGGTGTCATGAGCACTTTCAATCATGTACATAGACGTAACATGCCGAACCATAGGTCTGCTTGAAGATTGGGAAAAAGTAGACAATATTATTTTCGTCAGTGATTCACGCAAGCATGGAGTCAAAGCATGCCGCAAAATGAGGAAATGATCATGCGGTGCAGATGCCACTAGTGGTAAGCCATACTCACGTCTCGTACAGTTCCGACCCGCGGGTGTCGTACAGGTACCAGTGCGGCACGTGTTTGCGAGGTGACGTCAGCCCGGCCACCACCGGCAGCAGCTCCTCGGACACGTCACCGCTGCTAATGACGTCATTCATGCTAGGATCAGGGATGACGTCACTTCCGCCGTTCTCCAGCGTTGCCATGGAAACAGTTCCATTTACTGTCCCGTTTCCGACAGGATCAGGACGTTCGCTCGCAAGTCGCTCCGCTTGGGTGTTCATTTCCTTACGTTTGTTTATCTATGTAAGGAAACTCAAATTAGTGACAATACACTCACTACTCTTCCTGTAGTCCTCTTACACATAAATTTTAAAATACAAAAATTATAACTACATTATAACTACTATTTACGTTCACTTCTGACTACTTTAAGAACTCCTTATCGTTCCAGCACACATAAATGCCTTAGGTCATACGTTATCAATACACAATGCATCGTTCTGCATAGCTCTAAACTGCACTCTCAAAGCAGACCAACCTTGCAATATCAGCTGTCTACTTGGCCAACATCTACATTGAAAGCCGCTTCCCTAGCTATTAAGCATTGTAGGTGCTAGTTCGTCTTCGGACTTCGCATTCTGATTTGTACCATATGGCATTAGTCAGATGTCTCGTACAGTTCCAGTTATACACAATCAAGGGTGTAGACACGTCGATGAAGGTTAGACATCCAGGTAATACGATATGCCAAAAAACAGTTACTCAAGCAACTGGATATGATTTTGAAAACGTCAGACGTTTCAGCTAGTATCCACTAGCTTTCGTCAGTGACTGAGAGACCAGAGAGACCACCTACAACACAACCAGGGTCACTCTTTCAAACTCGAGTCCACGGATGTCTTAGACCGCGAAACACGCTGGTGGGAACGGGGTGTTAAAGAGGCAATATATGAAAGAATGTACAACCCCACCCTCAACAGGGAAGGGGGGCTACGGGTCGATCTTTCCGGCACTTGGGATTTGGCACTCCCAGCCCCGAGGACAGACAACACTTAAGCTCCTGTCCTGTATAACAGGAGCTTTCAGACTAATTTGCATCATCTTGTCTTGACTTGTCTGACTTTTGTTCCTTTTTCGACTTCCAAAAATTTGTCTTCACTTTATTTGCATATCAATCAACAGGTTGTGTATATAAACCTGCTTTCCCCTCTGGTCTCTCAGTCACTGACGAAAGCTAGTGGATACTAGCTGAAACGTCTGACGTTTTCAAAATCATATCCAGTTGCTTGAGTAACTGTTTTTTGGCAAGGGTGTAGACCCTTGATTGTGTATTAATATGGCGTTTTGAAGCCAATATTACCCCACCCAACCAGGTTTAACTTGGCTTGACTTGACACAATGACAGTTTTAACAGTTGACTGAATTTGAATTGCAACATGGCGGCGCACCCGAAGGCTGACACGCAATCTCATGGACATTTTGTACGTACTTCATGCGGCTTCATGGGGGTGACTCACGTCGACGCGGTAAAAATTATAGAAGGCCGCACGCCAACTACACATTTAGAATAGGTACAGATAATTTTATGAGCTGCGTGTAAGAAAATTCTAACACTGTGCACTATAAGCTCGTCGCTCGAGGCATAGCAATCACAAAAGGCATGGAATGTGAATCTCTGGGTCAAACCAAAGCACTGCACTCAAGGGGAAGGACATATGAAAGTAAGCCTCGGACCCAAAATCAACTTTCACCCCAAACACGCCACTTCGTAGATCTTGTCAGCCATGATGCGATTTTGCAGCGGACTGTTGAGAAATGTGGACTCAAACCTGAACCATCGAAACCCTTGTTACTTATTTTTGATAATTTAAGGCACACTCGACCACAGATCCTAGCCCCCAGTTCTCGTTAGGTTTTGCTCACACGGGCCGGGTCAGTTGTTCGTGGCCGCGCAAAAATGCCTACAGCTACAGGCGCAGAATTTGGATTGTGTACACTACAGGCCCGAAGATAGTAATTACGATCCCTTTCGGTGGCAAAACAGTATCCATTGACCAGAGGACACCGTGCAATTTGGATCTGCTTGAAGATTACGAAGATAGCTAGCTAAATCCCAGGATATATGGGACTGGATACCAGGCCAGGCACACACTATAACGCCCTTTGTTATCTCGCCTTAAGCTTGTAGACGGCCAATAGGTACCCTCACGGTAATAAGACGGCTCCTAAGTTGTGTCTCTATGGCAGTAACAGTCCTAAGGTTTTCTTTTTAATGCCCACGATCATGATAATGATCATTCTGGCAAACTCATACACCAGGGTAGACACACACTATAACGCCCTTTGTTATCTCGCCTTAAACTTGTATTAAAACGGTCGATAGGTACCCTCAAACACTCTTAAGGTGCGTCTGTACGGCATTAACAGTCCTATGTACTATGTATGTACTGTACATATTCATTACAGCATCAGTACAGCTAAAACTTGTGATAAAATACAAGGGAAATTTACCTGGAGAGTTTCAGGTGGCGCTGACCTCGGGTGCGGTGACAGAATGAATGGATGAACAAAGGATATACTAGTAACGTACCAGTCCCACCTGGCTGGCCGCAGGCTAGTGTAAACTACAACTTAATAAGATAATCTCCAAGCCTAAATACCAAACAGGTTCTCTGGAGTCAGGCAACCTTTTGTCATGCTAATAGTCGGCTACTATATATATACCCGTTTCAAGGCCGATTTCGACTTTTTACCTCCATGAAAAATGGAGGTATTGTTTTTTGGTCTGTGTGTGTGTGTGTGTGTGTGTGTGTGTGTGTGTGTGTGTGTTTCCGCACATCATAGTTGTAGTCAACATAACTTCAGAACGCTTTTATGGATTGTGATGATATTTGTTGTTGGTAGGTCGTAGGAAGACAGGGGTGAAGGTCAAATATGGGCCTCCTGGTTGCTGACCTTGGTACTGCAGTAGAACGTCTGGTATTGGTATCTTTTGTCCTAAACATGCTATGGTTTTGGGATTTTGGTTTCCTTACTTGTCTGACACACTTAGACTAATCTCTGCTTCAATTTCTTGTTCTATGCTTCTGTAATAGCTTCCATAGACTTGTCTTTTTTTTTCTCACACTCTCAGGCAGTCCAGGGCGTTATCGCCCCTACAGAGGAACCACTACTCTTCCTGTAGTCCTTACATACATTGTAAAATACAAAATCATAACTACTACTTACGTTCATAACTTTGAAAAGTCTTTATCGCTGCAGCACACATAAATGACCTTAGTAGGTCATAAGTTGTCAATACACAATGCATCGTTCCGCATACCTCTATGGTTAAACACGGGCTTCAGGGAGCAGCAAATCTCAACGCAGACGAACCCTGCCGTATCAGCTGTCTACTTGGCCAATTTCTATTTTTGAGAGCTACTTTCTGAAGCCTTGTAGGGACTAGGTCGTCTTCGGGCAGCGCATTCTGATTTGTACCATATGACAAGGGCACAGATAGCGTACAGATGGCGTACATATGCATGCCGAACGTATGCACTCAAGATTTTGTATAAATATAGCGTTTTGAAGCTCTCCCCGGCAAAACCCTCCACGGCATAACTCTCGTCGCTCACCGAAAATAAATAACGCCGCGCCCTCCTACAAGTCCGCGAAGGAGGCTAGCCATTGTACGTGCCTGCGGCTTCATGGGAGTTAGGAACGCCAAGGTGACTCACTTCGACGCGGTAAAAATTATACAAGGCCGCACACCAACTACGCATATAAAATAGATACAGATATAATAAGTTTATGAGCTGCGTGTAAGAAAATTCTAACACTGTGCACTATAGCTCGTCGCGCGAGGCATTACACTCACAGAACGCATGAAATGTGAATCTCTGGGTCAAACCGAATCACCACACTCAAGGGGAAGGGCATCCGAAAATAAGCCTCGGGCCCGAAATCAATTTTCGCCCCCAAACACGCCACATCTTACACTTTTTAGATCTTTCCAACCATGATGCCATTTTGAAATGTCGACTCAAACCCGAACCATCGAAAACCCTTCGTCACTTTTTACCGCGCACTACGTACCACGGATCCTAGCCGCCCAGTTCTCGTTCGTTTTACACTGTGACAGCCCGGGTTATCAGTTGTTCTATCAATCGCTTGCCGTGCACTACAGACGCAAATTTGGATTGTGTACACTACAGACCCGGAGATAGTAATTACGATCCCTTTCGGTGGCAAAACAGTATCCATTGACCAGTGGACACCGCGCAATTTTAATCTGCTTGGAGATTACGAAGAACAGCAAGCAGATTATTATTGGAATGAGCAGAGCACTTTGGACTAATGCCTCTGACCATTTACAGCTTAGAGGTACATATCCAATCTTTTGTAAAAAAACTTCTCTGTTACATAGCGGATCATAATGACCCCCAGTGGGGGTCTTCACGCTTCGTTAAAAATTGAAAAATCTCAATATTTTTGACAAAATCTTGAGATCTTATGAGACAATATTGAGATTTTTTATGACAATCTCCAGATCTTTCAGAAAATCTTAAGATGAAAAGAAAAGGTCTTTCCAAATGTTTTCAAAGTATCTTGAGATTTTTCCATAGCATCTTGAGGTGCTTTAAGAAATATCAAGATTTTTAAAGCAATCTTGAAAAAACGTGAGATCTTTTAAACAATCTTGATATTTTTTAAAGCATCTCGAGATGCTTTGGAAAAATCTCAAGATACTTTGAAAACATTTGGAAAGATCTTGAGACCTTTTCTTTTCATCTCAAGATTTTCTGAAAGATCTGGAGATTGTCATGAACAATGTCAAGATTGTCTTATAAGATCTGAAGATTTCGTCTAAAATATTGAGATCTTTAGAATGAATCTTGAGATTTTTCAATTTTTAACGAAGCGTGAAGACCCCCACTGGGGGTCATTATAATCCGCTATGTAACAGAGAAGTTTGTGACAAAAGACTGGATATGTACCTCTAAGCTGTAAATAGTCAGAGGCATTAGTCCAAAGTGCTCTGCTCATTCCAATAATAATCTGCTCGGTGTTGAAGATAGCTCGCTCAATCCCACGATATATGGGACTGGATACCAGGCTAGGCACACTATAACGCCCTTTGTTATCTCGCCTTAATCTTGTAGACGGTCAATAGGTACCCTCACGGTAATGACACGGCTTCTAAGTTGTGTCTGTACGGCAGTAACAGTCCTATGGTTTTCTTTTTAATGCCCACGATCATGATAATGATCATTCTGGCAAACTCATACACCAGGCTAGGCACACACTATAACGCCCTTTGTTATCTCGGCTTAAGCTTGTACACAGTCGATAGGTACCCTCATGGTAATGAGACCGCTCCTAAGTTGTGTCTGTACGGCAGTAACAGTCCTATGTACTATGTAGGTACTGTACACCATCATTACAGCATCAGTACAGCTAAAACTTGTGATAAAATACAACGAAAATTTACCTGGAGAGTTCAGGTGACGCTGACCTCGGGTGCGGTGGCAGAATGAATGGATGAACAAAGGAATGGGTACTATACTAGTAACGTATCAGGCCCACCTGGCTGCCCGTAGGCCACTGTTAACTACAATTACGTTAATCAGATAATCGCCAAGCGTCACCAAACAGGCTCTCTGGAGTTGGGCAACGTTTTGTTATGCTAATGATCCGCAAGCCTACTAACGCGTTTCAAGGCCGATTTTGACTTTTTACCTCCATGAATTCGAAAAATGGAGGTACATGTCTTGTTTTTTTTATCTGTTTGTGTCTGTGTCTGTGTGTGTTTCGTAGTCATCATGACTTCAGAACGCCTTTATGGATTGTGGTAATATTTTTTTGTTGGTAGGTCGTATAGGAAGACAAAGGTCAGGGCCAAATGTGGGCCTCCTGGTTGCTGACCTTGGTACTGCAGCAGAACGTCTGGTACTTGTATCTTTTGTCCTAAACATGCTATGGTCTTGACATTTTCGTAACAGATAGCTTTTCCTGTCAGAAAGTGGTGTGCGTTTCGTCCCCTACCGACTAAGTTCAGAAAGGAACAGCGTCTTTTTATTATTTAGAGAGAGATGTACATAATTAAATGCATATTATGAAAATGAAGATTTGATTTGCCCGACCTGGCTGACTGACTGAAAGATGAGATTCTATAATTACACTCGCGCCTTACCCCCTTTCAAGGTCAATCCGATCCGACAAGTGTCCAAAATGATTTAGCCAGTTCTGTGCATTATTTGTGTTAACTCTAACCCGGATAACAGAGGAGGGCCTAGGTTGTATTCCCCTTAATATTTAGAATAAAGGCTTTGGAGATAGCCCCTGGTACTTTGCGGTGTATAGTAAAAACAATAACATCATCAATTGCACGAACATTGTTCAAAATAGATCAGCCATTGATATTCTTCTTCTTCTTTTATCCTGCTTCTTCGTCACCAACAATATAAGAAAAATGTTCTGTAGTCTATTTGCTAATATCTTTGCACCTATTTTGTAATCTGTTTGGGTTATTGAAACGGGTAGCCAGTTAGGCCCTGTTCATATGAAGTCAGTGAAGGCGCTTTACATGTGGTTTCCCCCAAAGCCGGTTTCAAGTGGCCCCATCTGAATGCTCCAAATCACATTGAAAGCGCCTCGATCCCAAACTACTTCGGGAGTTGGTTTCGAACCGGTTTTCCCGGATCGCGATTTGCGTCTGAACGCAATGTGATTTCAATGTGACTTTGATTACGGGGTGATATTTCTTTATTTATATGCAATGCCAATATTTACGTGGCAGCAACTTAAAGAGCAGTAATGGTCGAATAAAATGACAATTGAAGGACAAGTTTCACCGCCTCTGGCGGGACCACGTCGGCATTCGGCGGAGATACGCTGGGAGGGGGGCAGCAGCAAGCAGCTGCAGGTCGTTGACCTCTGACAATTATAACACGCTACCTTGCGTGTTTTTATCAAACAACGTAGATTAATGTAGATTTGGAGAATCGTGATCGGACATGGTTTGCAAGGAATGTATGGCACGTGAACCAGATGTGCGGAATGCGAGTTACCCGAATCGCGGTTTGGGTGACTTCACATGAACAAGGCTATTTAGACAACTAGTTTCTACTGGGTTCTTGGTATTCACCTCCTTTAAAGAGCAATGATATAGACCCTTTACGTTGAGAAGAAGACAGTTGATTTTTCGTAAAACCGCTCATTTAGAGAGTTTAACACTATAGATTTCATCCTACTCCAAAATACCGTATAAAGGTCAGTTGTGTGAGTTGTGTCAGTTATGTAGCCATCAGGTGCCCTAAGGCTTGTGATTACTCTATGTGAGGCATGTCTCTTCTCAAGCCGAAGTTGAATATGCTGTGTTTTTTCTTCCTCTTCGATCCATTTAACTTTTGAGCGGATTCATTCATTCATTCATTCATTTATTCATTCATTCATTCATTCATTCATTCATTCATTCATTCATTCATTCATTCATTCATTCATTCATTCATTCATTCATTCATTCATTCATTCATTCATTCATTCATTTATTCATGCATGCATTCATTCATTCATTCATTCATCCATTCATTTATTCATGCATGCATTCATTCATTCATTTACTGTTTTGTCTGATTTAGTGTTATCTGTGTGCTTCTTGATGGTTTAAATCTTATTTGGCTAACTTAAAACGATTAGAGATATAGCCTGACGAAGCTGTGTTTATAAGGCAGCGATAGGCAGCCCATTCCCACCTGGTATGAAGGGCGACGGTCTCAGGCCGTGGTGACCGTCGTCGTTCCTATGATGACCAGCGTTGTCAAAGCAACCGCTGCGCAGATCAGCCTGGATGAAGACGCCATCCAGCAACATGCGGGACGTTTGTTGCCATCTAAGATTGCGAGAGAAGAATTATCCATGAAGCATTGCTCTACATGTATGTATTGATCAATTCACAAAAGAACGGGTCAGCATTTAGATGTGTTGTCACTTAAACGTCACGGTATGTTCAAAAGTGGTTGAGATTAAAAGAGGCTAATCTTTTCAGGAAGCGGTTTTCAATATTATGATACATAAATATAAGTAATATGCCTGGCGCAGGCTGCCATGGCAACGGGCCTGAAAGAGGGGAAATCTTCAATGCTTCAAATGAATAAAGTAACCAATAAATTTGGATACCAGGAGATTCTCCATTCTTGCTGTGTTGATGTTCTTACAATAAATAAATGAATAACAAAATATGCTAATTTTCGTGTCATAAGAATTTTTTTCTCCGGGATTTTCCAATTGGTGTGACTACAAAAAGGAAATGAATAGATGGATTTAACAGAAATAAACATTTTGTCCTGAATCCATTGCAACAAAGAAATGGATTTCATATTATTTCATGTCATATCATTTGCATGCTTTGATTCAATACCCCTGTGTTCTTGTTTTTTTTCTGCTTTAACGCCTATAAGTAAATCGATTACTAAGCAGGAAATGCTGCGTAATGGTGTCCTTGAAACACTTAAAACTGACCTTACAGCTAAGGGACGTCCTTCTGTGCCATGGGTTCGGTCCACATGTCCAACGGAGCCCTGCTCCAAACTATCTTCTGGCTGGAGCACGGCTGGCAAAGCCGCTACATACACGCCCCCCTGCCGCTCTCCCTCTCCGTCTCGGACGCCGCCGCTCCAGGACTAAACCGGCAGCATAACTGGTTCCGGTACCGAGTAATGATGTCACCCTTCACTAGGATCAGACTCGCCTGCATGTTGTCGTGTTTCTACTAAAAATAGTTCTCGCTCGAATGGGTTTCACTGGTTTCATTGGTCGTAAAAATATTGCCAATCACCAAGGCGAGTGGATACTTGTTGTCGTCCATACTCATGTGGGGACAACAGGCTGTTTTGGGCACAGCAGACTGTTTTGGGCACGGCAGACTGTTTTGAGCACAGCAGACTGTTTTGGGCACGGCAGACTGTTTTGGGCACAGTAGACTGTTTTGGGCACAACAGACTGTTTTGGGCACAACAGACTGTTTTGGGCACAACAGACTGTTTTGGGCACAACAGACTGTTTTGCTGTTTGACTGTATTTTAGTAATTATCTGGCGTAAGTCTCACGGGCCAGGCTGTAGATGTTCAGTCAAATATGATACATGGAGAGGGCGTCAAGGGAACGCTACATTCTGTTTGTAACATTTTATAGGCAGAATAAAAAAAAAAACATTTCCATATTTAGCCAGGAAGGTTTCAATTTTGTTTTAAACATATACAGGAAGGCAGATGTAGCGGAAGTATTCTGGTTGTGCAAGAGTTCCAGAGTTTGCAACAACGCAACTATAAAAAAAGTTTTCAAAATCATATCCAGTTGCTTGAGTAACTGTTTTTTGGCGTATAAAAAAGTTACTCCTCTTGAAAATTACGTGTATACGTAGTAGAAAAAACTTAGGTGGTTGGTACAAAGCTAACAGGTAAAGTTAAGGGTAGCTCTTTTTCAAAATACAGGGAGGCAAACATAAAAACACACATCTGACAAATGCTTATCTTGGTGACAGTTTCAATGTTACAAATCAGTATTAATCACAGATAAACAATGATCAGGTTAGTACCAGATTACAAAACTCATTATGTTCCCAAACTAAAACAGTGTACACTATATATCTAGTTTTAGATCTCTCTCATATTCTAAACTTTTGGCAACACTTTCTTATAAAACAAAGTACTGTAAATATATTAGTCATAATAGCTTGTCATTCTGATGTACTTAAGGAGATTTAAAATTTAGCGACATCAATGTACATCTAATGTACATTCACGGGTTACTTTGCCATAATTTCAATGTGTGTGGTAGATAAGGCCTGTATAGAGACAATAGTCAGCGCCAATGAATACATCTTTGAAATTGATCATGAACATGGCAATTAATAGATGAGGCCGCCGTCAAAAAATTCTTTGCTTTAGAGCATATATACACACTATGACACAGTGCTGATTGCATTAACCTGTCTGTGGCCCAGAATCAGCGATAAGGAATATAAGTGGAAGTAGACGCGATCTAAAGTCAATCCGTCAATCCACAGACCCTCAGCAAGTTTTGGTGATGCTCTTCCCAGTACTTGGACTCCAAGAGCTTCTTCTTAAACTCTGCTGCTTTGTCGAATTCATGTTTAGAGTGATTCAACGTGTTCACGATCTTTTTTGCCCATTCTTTTGCATCTTCACCTAGGTCGGACTCCCTAACACTGGTTTCCACGATCCTGTGCCTCATGTCTGGATGGCACTTCTCCTCTTTGATCAAGTCCATGATCATGTCTGCCAGCCCTGACTTGTCAGAGATGAGTACGGGGATGCCTGCTGCGATGGCCTCCAGACCGATCAGTCCGAACGGCTCGGCACGGGACGGCATCAGGAGAAGGTGGGCCTGCTGCATGTCCTGAGCAATATCCTTCAGTGTTCCACATGGAAGCAGTGTGGGTTTGATCTTTCCACTGTGCAGGTTCTCCTCCAGGATTCTCTTGCTCTCTTCCCAGTCATTTTCACCAATCCCACGAACACGCAAACCGACGTTTGTCACCTTCTGTGCAACATCTCCCATGGCCCGTGCTACGAGGTCATGGCCTTTCAGCTTGTCCCCTTCGGTCACTCTCCCGACAAACAGCACGACTTTCTGTCCTCCTCCTGGTCTAACAGAGATGTCCTCAAAAATTTGGGATGGTCTCGGAAGAAACAAGAAGTGTTGGATTGTTTCGTTTGACTTGTACTTCGTCTTGAAGTATTCGTAGATTTTTCTTCCCAAGGAGAACACGGCATCTGCATTCTTGGCATCCTCATTGATGTCTTCCAGCTTCTTCCCTGCAGCCATCGCTTTCTCAGCTCCCCTGTAATACTCCGTCTCCTCTGGCATATCATGGTTGAAAAGAACCAATTTTGCTTGTTGACAGCGGTTCTCTTGTATGCTCTTTGCAGCTTCACTTGTGAAATCTGCATGGCCCACAATGCACTTCAGATCCTGCGGTATATTTGGGTAGTGAATGATGTGGTAGTCTGTCAGCCATTCCAAAGTTGGCATTTTCTTCTGCCTTGCACTTTGGACAGGCAAATGCAGAATGACACCATCCTCTGTGGCACACTGCTTGTCTTCTTCAGATGCTTGCAAAGCCGTAGCATGAACTGTAGCACCATGAAGGTTAAGAAACTGCGCCACCTGACGGCTCGTGGTAGACGTACCTTCATGAGACGTGCCGTACTTATCGTTAACCAACAGAACGGATGGGACCTCTGCAAAAATACTCAGTTGTTAATACATTTTGTAACATAAAATATGCCAATGAACATAATAATGCCATGATACAAAACGATACATACAGATGCCATGATACATAATGAAATTCATAATAATGCGTATCCCTTCTGTGTCAAGGAAATACCATTACCTTGCTCGGTCTGCACGGCTTGTGAGAAGGGCAGGCTGACAGAAACCTGGTCACTCCTACCTTCAGCGACTCCATCTACCAAGCAAACAGAAACACAGATTCATGGAGGAAAGCATACATACGCCAAGGAACGTGATTCTTACGTTCAAGACATGTGTACTCGTAGCTAATGGCATTTATAATCTACTGTAACATAACATAACATAATATAACGTAACATAACATAACATAATATAACGTAACATAACATAACATAACATAACATAACATTACCTTACATGTATATTGCATTTTTAGTAAGTAGTTTCGTGAACATCAGGTTTTTAAAGATGGCATTAATAAAGACATTAAGCGTTTATTTATTGGATTCAGGTTAAGGGGGTTATTCTAGAAACATTCTGTTGGCACACAGCATGTTTGTGTAGTTTACAATTGGTAGGACAGTGTTAAGTAGCAAATGCAAAAACACAAATTGAGTGCTACATATATATAGGTACGAATAGGTACACTAAATTTTGCTGGATTGCAATTCATTTTGTTCATAACCTCGCCTTGCTTTCTTTGCCAATGCGAGTCTGTCGCTTGGTCCGCGAGTCTGACTGGACCGTCGTTTTGGAGCTTTCCTCTGGTCTTATGTCAAAAAGAAAACACATGAAGATTTTTCCAACTGCATAAAATCACGTCCATCTGGTGGAATATCTTCCCGGAACCCAAAAAAAAAAATACTTACTAACTTACTAATAGGTATGACTCATGAAGTAGGTTAAGAAGCATAGGTGACTCTCTCGCAAAAAATGGTAAGGGTGTTTTTCTTTCCCTAAATTTATTTTAGAGCTTGTAAGGGCTACTACCCTGTCCTAAAAGCAGGCTGCTAATATAAAACTGGCTTATATCTTGTTTCTCCTAGTACATAAAGTTGTTTCTCCTAGTACATACACAAAAATAACACCTACCTTGCAGAGAGTGCAGATAGACGAAGGCCGAATTTATCTGACGAATGGGGTCTGGCACTGGTTCACCTGATTTTGACAGTAGTGTGAAATGGACTGCTCCTTCAAACTTCCCCTTTCCTTTCTTCGGATCTCGCAGCCTTAGTCTGACTGATTTTGTGTTACAGTTCGCCAGCGGCCGCGGGAAGACGAACTGAATACCAAGCGGCTCCGGTGGAATGTCACGTGGATTTCCAATGACGTCCTCTTCCTCATCAAACCGTACACGGATTTTCTCCTCCTTGTGTAAGGTGATCACTTGTTGGAACGGCGGTGGTGTCTTAAAGTTATCTGCTCTGAAGACCTCCGTGACTTTTATGCCCTTCTCGATACACAACAGGTGAATGCACCTGTTGTCTGTCGTTGCCTCATTGGGACTGATAATGAGATGCACTTTGTCGTCATTGTACCTTGTTACAAGGACTTCTATAGCTTTGGGTGCCTCTTGATTAGCCGCTTCGTCCTGCTTTTCTGTACTAGTGTCAGCAGAGGTGGAGGCTTCTGTATAGCTGTCTTTTTTCTTGGCGCCGACAATGCTAAAACAGTTGAATATACGAAAGTAGATTAAACATATTGCTTGATCAATGATGAATTACTTGTAATCTCATTAAAATACTCGTGTTTTAGAGTCCATTCCGCGTCACCGAGTGGGATTTTTCTCCATGTTTCTAATACGTTTGAATTATTTAGAAGAAAAGAATACCCCAGTAACAAAAGTTGTAAATATTTCAAAAATTTGAAAATGAAAATTTGAATATATTTGAATTCATTTATGTATTTCTGAAACATTTTGAAAGTGACTGTACAAAGATCTCTTTATTTAGAATAAATTTGAACTACCCATTTCACTATTCGAAATATTTAAAAATAATTCAAACAAATAACCAAATGGTAGATGTGGGTAATTGCCCCCATAAAAGTAGGTGCTAATCCTACTCTTTTGTATTCTTCTGTATATTTTTAGATTTCACTGCTGGACACTGGTGGCTCTTTTGTTGTAAGGCATCAATGCCTGATGCCCAGGCAGACTAGCCTGTACTTCACAGGTTATTTTCCTTAAAATTTCATCAATACTTCCATTTCTTTTGACAAAAAAGGTTGAAATGAAGGTCTTTAGTATGTTTACAATGTATTTTAGGCTTTATCATGAAAAAACTATTTTTGAAAATTCAAGATTTATGATCCAAAATGGCGGACATCTTAAATTTGCATGACGTCATTTTATGACGTCACCGGTGTTGCTATGGGCAACATAAGACTTAGTACACCCTAATATTCTGTCATAAACACTTTTGGTAAAGTTATGTTGTAAACTATTTAGTTTTTAGGGAATAACCTATCTAGACGGTTTTGGCCAACATAATCACATTAATGACGTCATAATGACGAAACATTACGTCATAACGACATAAAAATTGCAAATATGATAAATTTTTACTAGTACATCATCCTCTGAAAATTTGGTGGTCATACGGCATACCGTTCGCGAGTTCTGAGGGGGGGGGTGTCAAAAGAGCCCCCCGGTCCCACCATGCTAAAAAAAGCCCGGTCTAGATAGGGTTAAACAAATATTTTCTTATTGATTTTTTAAATCAAGATATGTGTAATACCTGCAAAAGTGACACGTTTTGAAGGTGATCGTGTCCTTGGTCTCTCGAACCTCGGTGTTAAATACCGACCACTGGCGGCCTTGGCCTTCAGTCGACCTTTTCATCAGGATGGTTCTGCCCAGGTCACAGGTACTTTTCCATGTCCAGGGCAGGGTGACAGTTACAGGTCTTAGAAAGTCTTCCTCGGTGTCAAGGTGCACGGTCAGTACCGGTGTCACAGCCGAGAAACTGTTTGCCAAGGTCCCATCTGTGGGCAGTATGTCAACCTATGAAATTAAGAAAAAAATTAAGACTTAGAGCCATAAATATCGTTGAAGAGGTTCATCAGTCACGTGGAATTAACAGTTAGTAGAAATTCTTCGATCAGTGACTGTATTTTTGTAAGGTAGATTACGTACCTATTACGTAGGAAGCGGTCCACATCCAGTTGGAACGTGCCGGGATGAATCGTAATGAAGGTTGGGAGCTGCCCAAGTCCTACCTACCCCTATTCCGCAAGGAGGCGGGGGAGGCCAGAAGATCCACACAAGTCTCGACCTAGTCTCGTGTTCTCGCGAGACTAGGTCACTCCGTGATCAAGGTGTACAGTCGACACCGAAAATTTGGAGGTACGTAATCTACCTTACAAAAATACAGTCACTGATCGAAGAATTTCTACTAACTGTCTAGAGCCATAAAATAATGTAAATGTACATAATGTAAGTTACATTTCAATTTAAAATGTTATGTAGAAAACATAAAGAGATTTACAACATCTACAACATTATATATTTTTTTTAAATTAATGGCTTGAAATTTCGTCTTCACCGATAACTGAGACATATACAGGAAGGCAAAAAAACAGTGCTATTAATTAAGCTATGCTTTCCCCTACTTCGTCTAGGAGGCCGCAGTCGCTGGGAGTGATTATGAGGTCGGTCTAACTTTTAGACACAGTAAACAAGCCTGTATGCACTACGGTAAACAGCAACACAATTCAAACCGAAAAAAGACGATCTTACCTCAAAAGACATGAACTTGTCCGTCTTGACGCATCCTTTCGGAAAGAAGATAGTGACACCATCCTCCACAACCGCGCAACCTTCAGCTGTGATCTGGCGCGTGTACAGTACAACAGAAGACGACGCCTGTAGAAACAGTACTACGTGTTAGTCATTCTGTCTGAAACCAAAGTTGACTTTTATGAATCGTATCATGCACAATGAGCATGACTACCGAAATAAACACACCTTCCTTAGGATTTGTGCAGCAGTAAGACTGATTTTGGTATTGGACAGTGGTTCTGCAGTCATTGGTACTTCTGTTGCTGCCATCTCCAACATCCCTGCGCAGCGCCTGTCGAGCACCTCTAGCAAACGCTCTCTGGTTCCTTCAGGGTACGCGAAGACCGGAATGACCAGGTTCTTGTTCTGTACACAGAATTCGTACCCGAGCGTGGACCAGTGTCTGCTGTGGAGAGTCTGCGGTGTGATGATTGGTACGACCATCCTGACGTTCCGTGTAAGAAGATGACACAAGAGTTTGTCTGTGATGATTTCTTCTGGTTTGACGACGTCTTCAGACACTGTTACACCGTACCTGCTGGAGGACTGGACTAACTGTTTCAATAGTGGCTGGACGAGCTTGTCATTGTAGTCTCCAACGTGTAGGAGAACAATTTCATCCCCTAGAAATAAATGCGAAACATCAATACTTAAATCGAAGTATCAGGCAAAAAAAGCTGTTAAACAAGACAAAGCATCATCGTTGGGGAGGGGAGCAGGGAAATCAGAGGCTTCAAACTACAGGAAAAGTAATTTGAAGACGATTTTAAATCAGGGTACCTCTCTCTTCTCGGAGAAACATATGTGCTCTCTCAGGTAGACACACTTCCACGGACGCGCCCAGCAAGCGACGGCACATGTCTCCGGCCCTGTTGACGGTCTCAACCAACTCTTTGCACCTACCGACGGATGTGAGCTCGTGTCTGATCCGATCAACCTCCGCCAGACTCAGGCCTCTGCATGCCTCCAAATAGTCCAGGATGGGTCTGATGGGTCTGATCGTGTGGAGTGCTTCCTTGTCAGCTTGACTAGGCGTGGGCTCTATTATCACCGGTCCAGAACCTCCTAAGTTCTCTGCATGTGCAACGTATTCTAGTTAGTAACAATTGAAACACTATTTAAAGAATTATGAAACAAAGACTAAGCTTTAACTTCCAACACTTAGATTACAGAATTGAGACTTACTTACTAGGGGTAGGTCCCAATTCTGTAATAAGTGTTGGCAGTTAAAGCTTAATCTTTATTTCATAATCACTTGTACCAACACAGATGAACTTTCATACTATTTAAAGAAGATAAGCTAGGTAAAATCAGACATCTGAACGGCTTTACCTGCACAGGACGTTGTCTTATCACCTCTGCCACGAATCCAGACATTGATGAAGTCTTCTGGAAAACTGAGATTAAAACTATCAGTTAGTAACCCATGGCTTACTGATAGTGCAATGTTAGGAACATACAAGAAGTGAATAGCAGGCACCTAGGTACCTTCTTGTGTGTTTCCATCAAACAAACGTGCAAAAAGAATAATGTGCTAGTCAAATAGAATTGTCCCATTTACTAAAAGAATAGACAATTAACTGGCCTCACCGACTTGACCCCGTTGCCATTTCTTGTTCGATTTCAGGCAGTGGGTGGAATACTGGTGTACCTGTTTCTTCACCTGTCTCCTTACCGAAGCACCAGTTATACTGGATGGACGGGATCCAATTCTCCTTGATCTCGAAGAGACAACTGCTGAGGAACTTTCTAACAGGAAGACCCTCTGTGAATTCTGTCTGGTCTTCAGCTTCAGCCGACAGAACTTCCACCTTCAGGTAGTGCTTCACTTTAGTTACCACGAACTGTTGCTTCACATCATCGGTAGGGAAGCGACCGCAGCCGGCGAACACGTGGGACTCTTGAAAGCCGAACCTGCGTACACAGATGGCTTGAAGACGATAGAACATGCCACTTGGCAGGAACATGTTGTCGAATACGACATATAGAGGATGCTGGCATCTCGTCATGTGCCCTGGATACAAGGTGCTGTCGTCAGGCTTTGCGGCCAGGAGAGATGGTACGAAGTAGATCTCTTCTTTCTCAGGTTTGTCCGCTGTGTCACCAAACCCACCGATCGGAGTGGCGTTGCAGAGTAGGTAGTACTTTTCCATCAGTCGCTTCAGGAAGGGCTTGTGCCGCAGTAGGAAAGGTTTCTGCATCTTCTGATCTGCTTTGGTCCAGATGATTGTCAACAGCCGGTCACTGAGGATGCCGTCGATCTCCAGCCTCCTCCACATCTCGGCAACCTCCCCATCTATGCTCCTATCCTGCTGGTACTCAGGGACGGTGATGATGGTCTTAAAGACGTCAATCATCACCTGGGGTCGAAGCGTCACGTGATCACGAAGAACGGGTTCGTTGATGAAGATGATGTCACCAAGGTCGTGCAGGAATGTCAAAATGTCGGCAACAACGCTGTCATCCGCGATGTCCACGTCATCACTCCGGGCCAGATCTATGACATCTTGGAAACGGCAGAATGGTTCGTCCTCTCTCCTCTTGTTCATCAGTTTGGACTTCAGGTGAAGCCAAGTCATCGGGACCTCCTGGCCCATGAACCACAGACCCTTCGCCACCTTACGGAGGTATTCTCGGAGCTCGTCAATGTCGCTGTTGTCCTCGTTGAAGTTGTCAATGACAAATATCTCTGGTAAGACGTGTTTACCGGCGGCCTCATCACTGATGTGATCACGTATGTCTTTCTTGTACTTATCAATGTCCGACTGAAAGCAAGAGCAGTAATTCACTTTAAAGACCTCATCCTACTGGATCGTACGGATCGTACGGAATCGGAGAAAACAAGCCAAGGTTGATACCCCAGCCATGAATATCAACTAAACGTTTTAGGGCAAAGGCAAGCTTGAAGACTATACGTAGACTTCTCCATACCTGGTCGACCTTGTCCTTGTGCGTGAGGACTAAGACGACACGCGGCTCTCCTTCCTGCTCCCTCCCGTGCACCAGGTTGTGTGTGCGGACAGAGTTCAGCCAGTGGTCCAAGTAGTCTGCAAAAGTAGAGACGTCTTAGCATTTTCGTGTATGAAATTATCTTTGCCTAAAATATCATTTCAGCTTTTCAACGTTATATATCTTTATGTTATTTAAGTTCTTTTTAAATACCAGGTCCAAGCCTTGTAGTAAACCGTCATGACATAGATTTTGCAAATAAAACCGACTGCATTGTCACCATACTACGTAGGGCTATAGTTATAGAAGTACTAGTGGTATGTACCTCTTCCAGTTACGAGGTTGTCCGCTGCCGCCTTGTAATCCAGATCAGGAACTTTGTCGGACAGCTTCTGCAGCAGTGACATGACCAGGATGTAGATCCCGCGGTACGTGAAGAAGCACTGGTGCGAGCCGTAGTACGTGGCCTGGCCGCCGAAGTCCCAGAGGGAGAGACGTGGGTGTTCGGCTGTTCCCAGTTGCTCCTCGGTCGCGCCACCTTGGAGTAGCTCTCTGGCTTTTGTTATGACTTCATCCGGAATGTTCTGTTTATGCTGTTGAACCGTGGAATCACCCAGGCGTACCTGTTGAGGTTGTATTTGTCGTGACGTAGTCGTGGCCACACTTTCTTCTCTCCCTGCTACGAAAGATGTGTGTTATAATTATTTAATCGATCTAACTTGAAATCTTAGTAGTGTACCTGAACTAACAAACTTTACCTCTGACATTCATTCTTTGGGATCTTCTGACCTCATTCATTCTTTGGGATCTTCTGATCTCTGTAGAGGCCACCTATTACATCAGGCAATAATTAACTTAATTAACTAACTTAATAAATAATTAACTAACTTAATTAAATTGTCGCGCCAAATTTGATGTCGGATAGCGTCTGAACAGCTTGCGCTAAAACCACCAAACTTGGTGACTTTTCCTAAAATACTGTTGGCAACAATTTTGTATGAATGAAAGAAGATAATACTTTTTTTGTGTTGCCATGGCAACGAGTTTCTGACATCCATTTTTGCTAAATTTAGTAATTTTCATTTCAACAGTAAAATCTTAAGGGTTTATGTCAAGTTAAACATCTCATGTGATTTATGTAAATTTAAGCTTTTTCTTGAAGAAATCTTTTTTTTCAAATTCAAGATTGATGATCCAAGATGGCGGATGGCTAAATATGCATGACGTCATAAAATGGAAGAAGTGATGAAATTTACCCTGTATATAAATAACCTGTATACACCTGATCTAATTATATGGTCCGCCATTTTGGATTTTGGCCAATAACTTCATCAAATTAGCATAAACTGTGCATTTTTAAAAACAAAATTTACATAAAATGCTATGGGCAACAGAAGTTTTAGTACACCCTAATTTATTCTAATATTTATTTTTGTTAAAGTTATGCTGTATACCATTAAGTTTTTAGGAAATGACCTATTTAGACTGTTTGGGCCAATAAAATCACATTAATGGCGCCATAATGACGTCCTAACGACATAAAAAAATTATTGTTTTGATTATTATGATTATTATGATTCTTTTTTACTAGTACACCATCCTCTGAAAATTTGGTGGTTATACGATATACTGTTCATGAGTTTTGAGGGGAGGGGGGCGGATAAAGATTCATCCTGGAAGGGGAAGCACCCCGCTTCCCAGTCCCAAGAATGCCAAAAAAGCCCGGTCTAGATAGGGTTAATGACGTAAATTTCCAACTGACAGTCTCACATAAAGCAACAAGTTTAATTTTCTACATCTTCTATAATGTGCATTTCTAACTGGTGAAAAAATATTTGCATTACTCACATTCTTTCTCATCTTCTTTCTTCAATTTTGGTGTCTGTTGACTTTGTTTCGGGGTATCTTTTTTCGGCGGTTTCTCTTGCTGCGTTTGCTCCCTTGTCGTGTTTTGAGCATTTCCTGCGTCTTATATGAACACAAGTAAATCGGTGAGATATCACTGCCCCTTTGTGTGTTTGTTTGTGTTTCTAGAGACAGAATTTCAGTAATACGTATGATGATGACGTTAGTAGAATTTTTTCAATCAGTGACTGCAGTTTTTCAAAGGTAGAACCACGTACCTCCAAATTTTCGATGTCCACTGTACATCTTGATCACGGAGTGACCTAGTCTCGCGAGAACACAAGACTAGGTCGATCAAGATGTACAGTCGACATCGAAATTTGGAGGTACGTTGTTCTACCTTTCAAAAACAGTCACTGATTGAAGAATATTCTAATAACTGTTAATTCTACGTGACCGATGAACCTCTTCAAGGGTATGATGACGTAAAACTAAAAGCAGTAAAGAGGCGTCAATTGCTTTGTTCTGTGTATCCATTCTAAAATGAACAAAACTGTCTGCTTTCAATATTTTTGGCTATAAACCTCTATTTTCCTATCAATCAATCAATCAATCAATCAATCAATCAATCAATCAAAACTGGTTTATTGGTACAAAAAGGCGTTGCAGCCAAAGGCTGAATTATGCCTTCTGTAAATTACATACATTGCACATTTAAAAGTCTCTTCAATATAATGTAAAACAATGAAATAATACATGTCTATATCTATATAATTATTTAGTACTAGATTGCTAAGCTTGCTTTAATAGGCCAATCTCGACATCTTCTAGATCATTTATCCTGAACGTGTGCATTAGCATTCTTGTCCTGTAAGTGTATAGCGTCCATTGATATATAAAAGTGATATTGGATACCTGTAGGTTTTTTCCTGACTGCTCCTTGGGTTTGTGACGATGTCTGGGTGCGTGCTTTTTTCTGTTCTTGTTGTTCCGCTAAGCGTTCTGCCATGGTTTCTTTGAATTCGTCTGGCTCCTCTGTAAGCAACATATGCCATATATTGTATGGTTAGTTGTTAAACCTGAGGTCAGTTGGCAATTTCATCTTAAACAAACATGATTTGCATGTTGTTTTCTTGTAATTTACTGTTTCTAATATCATGCAAAATGATTATGTATTATTGCATGCCAGGTGCTTCTGGTTCCAAACTCCCTAAGTAGCAAGGTCTAATTTCGTGCCAGATGATAGATGATTTTCAACATGTTTTTCGGACCTTTTGCCTTCCGCCAAGTCTTGGTCTTCACGCTGGGTGAAATCTCGATGCCGTCTGTTATCGGTTCATTCTCCACAGCCTTCTCTCCCGTCAGCCTCCTGACGACACACGTCTTCCCGGATCTGAACTGACCAACCACGAGCCCGCGCACGCTGTGCATCGGTCGCGACCCCTGGCGGCAGGCCTGGAAGTACAGCTGCTGCATTCCAGGCCCACGCAGCTGTATTTCTAGTGGGACACTGCTGCCTCCTGGATGAGAAGGCTGAAATTTGACGGAGGCTGTATAATAATACATTTACATGTCTCTATAGATAGGTCACAGGCCTATTTCTGAACCATATACATAATATTCGGAAGTGTGTCAGGCTTAATCTTTACTAAACCGCCCTCGCAGATTAATGCTTTTACACAATGCATCTCTCACCAGGATGCCAAGGTTAAGGAAGAGTCTTACACATAAACTTTGTAGCGACTCACATTATTCTCATCTTCGAGCAGCTTCAGTATTTCCTTTCTACCGCGAGTGATTCGTTCTCCCTCGTCTTTGTTGTATGCAAAAGCGTCCAAGGTGTCCTTATCTGTAGCGATGTCCTCCGCCGTTCGACCAACCTTGGAATAAATATGCTGGCAATTATAGCCTCATGAATGTTGGAATATCGGATTATATAACCATGCCTTACAGTAGGTACAGCAGGTAAGCCCATATCGAGAAAGAAATTGGTTTGTAGGTGTTTATTCCAACAACAGCTTCCCATTGCCTTAGGGTAGTAATAGATATGCAAAAAAGTGGATCATTATATAAAAAACAGTCTTATTCTTCATCCTCCCCCAAAGTAAAAAGCCAATATTCTATTGCTGAATTGGTGGTCAGGTATTTTTCAGAGAAGACGAAGAATCGACTGACCTCGTTCCTGAGGCTGGCATCAGCCCCGTACTGCAGCAGTATTTCCGCACACTTGGGGTGACCCCTTGTAGCTGCGTCATGAAGGGGAGTGTTTTCCTGTTGGCGAATTCAGGCATGAAGCTGTGTAATTATTTCACCCTTTAATAGTATGGTCAAATATCAACTCCTTATAAATGTATAATAAGTTGTATAATCAATCTCTGACTGCAAGCTCGCTTGAAGCCATTCCCTAACTTTGCATTTTATACTGATTGCTTTTAATGATGGATAATAACGGTAGCGCCACAATTCATGCTTAATCATGCTTTATGGCACAAAAATGTATGATGTATTTAGAAAGTTATATGCTGTATAGTCCCTTTCACATCTGCACCAGCTGCATGTCCAATGGTTGTCAGCAAATAAACCGATAAGTAAAAGATGGTCGACAAATGAAACAAAAGGTGTTGCAGAAAAACATTTCTTGTACCACAGCAGTCAATCTATTTTCATCATGATAAAAATATAAAACACAAAATATAAAATATAAATATTGCTTCTGTATTACATCAGTGACAGTATACTTACGCCAACGTCCTCTGCGTTCATATCTGCACCAGCTGCCAGTAAAGCTGATACAGTTTCATGGTGGCCATTCTGGACTGCCATGTGCAGAGAAGTTCTTAGCTATAAAACACATCAGATAGTCATCAGTATGACTGATCAGTAGGACGGATAAAAGTACACTTATATGTGTTGACACTGATTATCGCAGCTACCAAATGTACCGCTTCAAGATAGATATCAAATCATAAATAACATTACAAAAATGTGTAACCATAGTTCATCTCCTTACCGTATCATCCCGTGCGTTCACATCTGCACCAGCTGTCAATAAAGCTGATACAGTTCTATGGTGGCCATCATGAGCTGCCAGGTGCAGGGGACTCAATTGCTGTAAAACAAAAAAAAATATGGTTTTAGTATGTCAACAGAAAGGCATGAATTTTGTATGCATATGTTTGAGGCATTGCTAATGACAGCTACCAAATGTACCGCTACAAAAAGATGGCAAGTCTTCTATGATATTTCACAAAGATATTGTACGGAACAACCACAATTTATTTCCTTACCCCATCATCCAGTGCGTTCACATTTGCTCCAGCTGTCAGTAAAACTGATGCAGTCTCATGGTGGCCATTATAGGCTGCCATGTGTAGGGGAGAATCTTGCTGCAGTAGAACACATCAGATGGTCTTCAGGACGGACAACTGTGCACTTACGAGTATAATTGTGGCAAATCTAACGGTATTTAGCAAAAGTCGCTATATGTAGAAAATTTCTCTGTATGCAATAAAGATGGCACGGTTTTGGGCACCAGATGACTTTACTTTCCAATGCTCAGCGCAGGTAAAGCCATCAAAGGCCAAGCAAGTGTACTCGACTAACTTAACAATCATGTCAGTCGATATGATATCACTAGTATGAGAGAGTACAATCTTAAATGAAGCTATATATAGCTACCTGTCTGTAGCGGAAGTGCCGCCGGAAGTCACGAGCGGACGCCTACATACAATTCTCTGTGATGAGGCCCAAGGCCCCATCACCCCATGATGGATGTCAAATCTTACAATATCAGATATTTCTTGTATCACAACCAGTCAGTCTACCTACCTTGTTGTCCTGTGCGTTCACAACTTCAAATATAAAAGATAAATAATGCTTCTGTATTACAGCAGTCAGTATACTTACGCCATCGTCCTCTGCGTTCACATCTGCACCAGCTGCCAGTAAAGCTGATACAGTTTCATGGTGGCCATTCTGCGCTGCCAGATACAGGGGCGTGCTTTGCTATAAACACACCAGAGGGTCTTCAGTATCTGTATCTGTATCAGTATAGCCGGTATAACCGCCCTTCGGCGTAACACACCAGCTAGATATGGCACAGTACAAACGTAACTACGTTCACTCATTCTTATAACACGGCCAAAGGAATCTGTTATGACTACTGATTGATTGATGACTGGTTTATTATTCACATAAACAAATACATAGACAATACAGGTTTAAAAGTCGGTGGCAGCCTAAATGGCTGAATTGTAGACTTTTTTACAATTTAAAATCTTGAGAATATTATTGAGGAGTCTCCGTAACAAGTTGTCTCGGAAAATTGTTTACATCTATTCTTAATACCCGCCTAACCAAATTTCTTGATGAAAATCAACTTATTTCCCCGAATCAGGCCGGTTTTAGACAAAATTTTAGTACATGCGATAACATATTTATCATAGATACTCTTCTAAGTAAATATTTCGCAGGAAATAAACGCCTCTATTCCTGTTTTATTGATTTTAAAAAGGCATTTGACAGTGTTTGGAGAGAGGGCCTCCTTTATAAACTGCTAAATTCAGGAGTAGGGCGTAATTTTTATAAACTTGTAAAATGTATGTATTCAAAACCACAGACCTGTGTCAAAACCCACTCCGGCTTAACCCCACATTTTGTAACAAAGAAAGGCGTCAGACAGGGCTGTAACCTAAGCCCTACTTTATTTAATTTGTTCATCAATGACCTTGTAAACGTGCTTGATAATGATGATTGTTCTCCACCCTCACTGCAAAATCTATTCGTGTCGTGTCTGTTGTATGCAGATGATATTGTTATATTTTCTGAAACCGACAAAGGATTACAATGCGCTCTCAATAAGCTAGACGACTTTTGCAAGAAGTGGAGACTTCAAGTCAACCTAAAGAAAACAAAAGTTATGATATTTAACAAATCCGGTCGGTCATTCCCTAAACAAACATTCTCTTTTGGAAAAGACATGATAGACATAGTCTCTTCCTACTGTTATCTAGGTCTGACCATAACAGCATCAGGCAGCTTCTCCCTGGCTAAAAAACAACTGTCGCTTAAGGCACGTAAAGCCATGTACAGCTTAAAATCTCTCACTCGTTCCTCTGTCTCCCCAAAGTGTTTACTGAGAATATTTGATACATGTATTAAGCCAATTCTTCTGTACGGATGCGAAATTTGGGGCACAGAAGCCATAAATGACAACTCACCAATTGAAACTACTCACCTGCGTTACTGTAAGAATATACTTGGGATTTTTAGAAATAGTAGTAATTTAGCATCTAGGGCTGAATTGGGCAGACTGCCATTAGATATAGATATTTCACTACATGTTATAAAATATTGGCTCCGACTTGTACAAATGGATTGTAATAGGCATCCGCTGCAAGCTGACGCTCTTCTGTTTCAACAAAATGCGCATTGTCAGAGAAGAACATTACTACAGCGTGTGAAAGAGATATTAGATTCTAGTGGATATTCTTATTTGTTCTATTCGTGTAATTCTACTTGTGATATCAAAACTGTATGCACCATGTTAAGGTTAAGAATTTCTGATATGTATAAACAAACTATTTCCCACAAGTTAAATATTGATTCTGGCAAGCTAAGGTTCTACAAAAAATGTAAAACAGCATATTCTATGGAAAAATACCTGGACTTAACTGATTTTAATAATCGCTCTGCAATAAGCAAATTACGAATTAGTGCCCACCCTCTCGAAATTGAGAGAGGGCGGTACAAGAAGCTCCAAGTGTATGAACGAATTTGCAAACATTGTACGTTGAATACGGTGGAAGACGAAACGCATTTTATATCAAATTGTACCCTCTATGGCAATGAACGAAATGAACTCTTTGACGTAGCCTCCAAATTCTACCCAAACTTTCACACATATACAAATGAAAAGAAAACCACTCTCCTCTTAACATCCGAAAACCCACAAATTATAGAAAAAGTGGGATCCTTTGTCTTCCTCTGTCTTCAAAAAAGAAGTCAAACCCAGTAGTTTTTACCAGTAGATTCTTAGTAGTTATCAATAGTTCTATATGTACTTATTGTCTGTTTTTATACCATATCTCTTCTGTTTCTGCAATTAGCCCTCGGGCAAGAATTTGCAATAAACAATTATTTATAATTATTATTAATTGAGACTTCAATACAAACACTACATATACATAGAAAATACAATATCAAAAGTACGAAAAGCCTGTTCGGTCAGTACAACAACCAGTAAGTTACAGAACTTGCGTATCGTTCAGCAACTTTGTCAAATAGTACATAGGGCTCTTAGTGAATCGGACAGTTCTGGGTCTGAGAGTTTGTTGATTGCTGTTTACTCGACCTTGAACGAATGACAGTCGAAAGACAGGTATTAAACATTCAATGATGATATATGAATATGATTCTTTATTGACTCGACAAAAGTACTGGGAGTTTTGCATTGTCTACCACAACTTCGAACAAAGATCGAACAAAGGTCTACATGTTCGGATAAAGCCATCGTACTTACAGAAACATATGATACATCTGATCTGAACACTCATCTCTAACTCACCAATGCCGTCCTTGCGTTCACATCTGCACCAGCTGTAAGTAAAACTGATACAGTTTCATGGTGGCCATTATAGGCTGCTAGGTGCAGAGGACTCCATTTCTGTAAAACACACCGTCAAACAGGACGGAAAAAGTACACTTATGGTGCTGATATTCTTAATTGCAGCTACCGTAATTATTGTACCGCTATAAGATATAGATATCAAGTCGTACATAAAGTTACAAACACGTGGCAACAATTGTGCAACTCCTTACTTTATCATCCCGTCTATAACATTTGCTTTTAGTATGTCAACAAAACGGCGTGTATGTTGGAGGCATTGCTAATGGCAGCTACCAATAGTACCGCTACAAGAAAGGTGTGGGGAACAATTACAGTTCATCTCCTTACCTTATCGTTCAGTGAGTTCACATCTGCACCAGCGGAAAGTAAAGCTGATACAGTTTCATGGTGGCCATTATAGGCTGCCTGGCTCAGCGGACTCCATTGCTGTAAAACGCATCCTATGGTTTTTAGTATGTCAGCGGATAGTATGTGTGTTGGAGGAAGCGCTTATGCCCCCATCACATTGTCGACGAGCTTCGGCCGTATTTGTCAATCGCCGAAAGATCGGCCGATTTTGAGATCGACCGACGATCGCGCGTATTTTCTGCTTGAAATTCGTCGCTGTCACATTGTGCGAGGCTCGGGCGATCGCTTGGCAATACATCTATGATAATGAAGTCCCTATGACATGGCACGCAGATGAAGCAAGGCCAGTGTATCCACCTAAAATGAATAGTTTGACCAATTTTTATGTTTGACCTGTCGTTATATTTTTTAAGCAAAGTAATGGAGCGGACTGGCAAAATAAAATAGAAATACAAACAGGAATTCTGTGAAGGATCCAACTCAAATACTACCAAAGAGCCACAAATTTACACTACCGTCTGGTTAACACAACGACCACCTTTTTAACCAAACGGGAGTCGGCCGAAGCTCACTCGACAAACGGGCGTATGTCGCCCGAGTTACGGTCGACGATCTATCGATGCTCGCACGATCTATAGACCATTCAACCAAAACGTACAAGACATAATGATTATCATTATCAAAATCTTTTTATACACGCGTACCTGAACAAAGATATATTGTTCTAAAACTTTGCCTGTATACTTCTGTCTAAAATAGTATGAATCTTCCGGTAAACAAGCCATTCATATATATATTCTGTATATACAAAGTAGACAGAGGTAAAATATAAACTTCAACTAGTAAGTAATACATATCACATGACGTTCTTGTGGGCATCCTAAGAAACAAGTCAACCTCATTCCAGAATGAACATGACTTTGTGTAAACGTCAATTTATTATACAATCATCTGAAATAAGGCCACACACCTCCTAAAGGGACAAGAGTTAAGGATTCCATGTGCGTTCAATCAGTTGAGGTCAAAATCTAGGCATTTGGCCTTATATAGTTAAAACCTCGTCATCTTTTAAAGTGGTTTTGTTTATAACGAATGTTGATTTAACAAAAGGACAAAAAGGACGATTTTGTCTATTTCTATCCTTTCTCGTAAACATAACTTTAACAATCAATGGGACGTTGCTCCTGCAAACTTTAAGTATACTAAAGTTTAAGGATCCTAAGGAACAGCCAGGCCGTGAGTGCTCCCAGGGCTAGGACAAAGCGGCTCCAGCAGTCCTTTCTCCACAGGGCCATAGCCCTATACAACAAAGAACTGTCACATCACTAGATTTATATTTCCTAAACCTCATCTGTATATAGTTTTTTTTGCTTGGTACAAATTTTTATGTATTATAGTGTAGGTGAGGGTTTGTATATACTGCTTGTCCTGCCTATTTTTTTGTTCTGTACGCAAACTCTTTCAATTCAGGGATTTCATCCCTGCTGCAAGGTTTGCTTTTTGGTGTTGAAATAAATAAATAAATTCAAAATTTGATGGAATTCAAAATACTGTCTATGAAATCTCAAATAAATGTCACAGGTGCTGAATAAATAATAACTTCACAGGAGCTCGGACGAGGCTCGTAGAACCTTTGTCCGACACTGGCACGAAGCCCGCTCGAAGCACGCACGATTTTAAAACTTTGCGCAAGTCGGGCGAGGTACGGAAGAGGGTCGTCCGAACATTTCGCGAAGCTTGCGCGAGGGTCGGCCGTATTCAGCAACCATCGCCCGATTTTCAAAGACAAAATACGGCCGAGACTCGTGGGATGTACGTCCGAATATCGGTCGACTCTCGGTCGCACAGGGGCGAGCTACGAGAGAGCTACGCGCGAGCTGAAAACGAGCTCTGCGACGTCAAAAATCGCCGGCGACTAGTCGCTTGATGTTAGAACGTTTCGCGTGTCAGCGAGCTTCGAATTCGGCCGACTCCGAAAAGTCGTCGGCGATGCCGAAAATTCGCGCGATGCGGAACATCGAGCGTACTATACGGCCGTAATAATACGTAAATGTCGTTTAGAGCTCGCCGACTAGTCGGCCGATCGACTTACGCGCAATGTGACGGCCCCACACACATAGTTTTCAACAATAAATGTAACTGTAACTAGAAAGGCCAATATTTGCTTTGGAGCAAATACAGCGATGGGTTCACCACATTTTACGACATGGCAGGGAAAGAATGAGAAACACAAGGGAAAACAATGATTTACATTGATATAACTATAATATGAAGTAAAATACAACTAAAACAACAGTTGGATAGCTATTCCCTACTTTATTGGTTAGGATTTTTAATTGCATAATGCAAACTGTTGATTTTCAAAATAAAAAAAAACGTACCATGCCCCGCATTCCAATGCTGGAGCAGGAAAGCTTGAAATCCCTACCAAAACACTTGAATACAGACATACTGTCGGTATGGAAATGCTCTGTGCAGGTGTTAATCAAGTTAAATCCCAACAGCCAATCAGCAAGAAGAATAGAGGAAAGCTGCATGCCTATTGGTTGATGCCCTGCATTCCATTGTGATGACTCATGCCCAAACGTGGTAAACAAGGCACACTAACACAGTAATACATTTGCTATAACACAGCCAAAAAACTCAAATAAAACCATTCTAAAAGCCTGTATCACAATAATTTAAAAAACGCCTAGGGGTATTTGCCCACTGTACCTCCATACCAAATTTCAGGACCTCGGGCCCTAAAATGAAGAAGCTGAATCCATTTAAAAAATGGCAGGAGAAGAAGGAGAAGGAGAAGGAGAAGGAGAAGGAGAAGGAGGAGAAGAAACATCAGAAAAAGCAATATGGGTTCACCACCACTTCGTGGTGTGGTGAACCCATAATAAACGTTAACTACCGTAGCCGACAAGTAAACGCCTGCGTCGCCTGCGCAAAGACCTGCGTCACCTGCATGAAGACCTGCGTCGTTTGCGCAAAGACCTGCGTCACCTGCGCGAAGACCTGCAGCTGCGTCGTCTGCACAGGAAAAACAATCTGCGTCGTCGGCACAGAGGAATATTCTTCTGCATTGACGTTGCAGGTTTTTTTCACTTTCCGGCCACATAGTTAAATGGAGTTGGCTACATTGTGATTCTGAGCTGCAACTGTCACAGAAGTATTGCATCTGTTTCGTCATACATGAACACGATATCAATTATATTTTGTTAAAGAAGAGCAATCCCCACCAAGATCACCCAACAACAGAAAACATGGTAACAAACCAAGAAGCCACCACCAGCATTAGGGTTGACTCTCTCCGCTAACAGCTGCTGCACTCTGTCCGTGTCTCCTTCTTCTGCAGCCCTCGGCAGCGCCTATAGCGGCGGCAGACAGGAACAGGAAAACACTCATTTAATCAGAATGTACACATGTGAACGGTTTTAATCTTTTTTTCTCGGTGTCATAACGAAGGCCGCGGTGGAGGTGTTGCTATCTATGTTAGGGATTCTATACCTGCTGAAATCATGAATTTTATTGAAATACCCACAGAACTCGAGTGTCTGTGGATTCCTTGTTAAACCCTACTGGCTGCCACATTCCCGTTTGCGCTGTTTATAACCCTCCAGCGTCTTCGTACCAAGAACAGAACTGTTATATAAACATCTCATTGATAGCATTGATAAGGTTAATACCAGGTACCCGCTTGAGGGAATCTGTGTTTTAGAGGATTTTAGATGATGATGTTTCCAGACTGAGTGTTCTTCGTCAAACTCCTAACAGGGGAGAAGCCATTCTTGATTTGAAAAAAAAAAAAAAAAAAAACTAATTTAAAATCACTTTATCAGAATCCTCGGATTGAGGAACCTCTGGGAACGAGTGACCACAATACATTAATATGGTCTCCCTGTGATCATATACCTTATACCTTATATATGTCACAGGGGAGATTGGGATCCAGGGGGATCCGGAATCCTTCTAGGAAAGATTGGAATCCCTATCTCCCCTTGGAGAATCTGGAATCCTCCGAGGGGAGATTGGAATTCCTATCTCCCCTAGGGGAATCTGGAATCGTCCTAGGAGAGATTGGAATTCTGATCAGTAGTATATCCCAATTCAGTAGTAGAAGTACTAGAACTCATACATTGAATCATTTTCACACCGAAATTTTCAATCAATTTCAGCAATTGCAACCAATCTGTAGAATTCTGCTCTCTGCTGCTGTTCATCCTCCGGCATCACTTGATCAGTATGCTGTCACTTTGACTGGCTTGGTAGAGGGAAGCAATCCCTTAGATACCAAGTCCCTAACAACCTGGAAAAACTGTCTTTTGAGTCACTATCTCACAATGACCTGATGCAAACATCTTAGTCTGATTTACAATTTCACTTACCTATGCTGAAAGTAATTAAAGTTTAGGTGTGAAATAACTTAGTCTATTTTCCCAAGCATTTTGAGGCGATCATATTTCTCCTTTTAAAATTGGAGATTGTCCTGGAAGAATTCCCACTTGTCCTAGGACAACTTGGAATTCCTATCTCTCCTAGGATAATCTGGAATCATCTTAGGAGAGATTAAAATTCAGATATTCAGATCCCAGTTCAGTAGAAGAAAAACTTGAATTACAGTCTCCCCTAGGGGAGATAGGAATTCCAATCTCCTATAGGAGGATTCCAGATTCTCCCAGGGGAGATAGGGATTCCAATCTCCCCTAAGGGAAATAGGAATTCCAATCTCCCCTAGGAGGATTCCAGATTCTCCTAGATTTTTATTACATTCGGCAAGAAGGTTATGTTTTCAGAGGCGTTCGTGTGTGTATGTGTGTGTGTGTGTGTGTGTGTGTGTGTGTGTGTGTGTGTGTGTGTGTGTGTGTGTGTGTGTGTGTAAACACGATAACTTGAAAAGGCCTTGATGGATTGTCTTGATACTTGGGAGGTGGTTTAAAAATGATTAGATTTTGGACCCCCTAGCGGCTTGTTATGGTACTGCAGCTGAACTTCCGGTTTTGATATCTCATGATCTAGACATGTTAGGGTGACGACATTTGGATGGTAGGTAGGTCTTGTACTCGGGAAGAAGTAACGTGAGTGAGCTGCTTGCTCAGGAACTGCAGGGCTATCTGTTTGAAAATATTCAAAAGAGGATAACTCAAGAAACGGTTGATGGGTCGTCGTGATTTTTGGTATATTGGTAGCTTACGTGATGCTTGATATAATTATGTGACAATTATGCAAATATGGAAGTAATTTTCATAATTTATGAGGAACTTCTATAAATAAGCTGCATTCTATGGTAGGACTACGGAAGCTTGTGACATTGGTTTTGAGAACGAGAGAAACACAGGCAGATATTAATTATGTAAATGTGGACTTAACTTGCATAATTAATGACAAAATTCTATAATTATGTGTGTTAATGATAACTGCCTAGAATTTCATACTTTTTGGAGTCGGCCGGTATTTGAAAGTTCGGTGAAGGTGAACATCATTAAACATAATGTATTCAAATCAGGACCTCATTTGCATGAGAGAGAGAGAGAGACAGAGAGAGATACTAGATAGGGTTGTCAGAAATGTCACCACTGGGTGTATCTTTTCGGGATTGGAGTGCTGTGGGGTTTTCATGTTGGTGGTTTTATTGACTTGAGCGCTACAGGAAAGAGTCGCAGTCCTTAGGATTGTATGTTAAGCTGTGGCCCACTGTTTATGGGAACATATGTCCTGAGACAAAAGTCAACAACCCTACAAACATATGTTACACCGCCCCCCCCCCGAACATCTAGCATTCAACATTGACCCAGAATCGACCTTGACCTTCCTTTTCCCAACCTCATCCTACCTACCAAACATTATAAAGATACATGCACCATGCATACCCCAACTTATAACTGATTACAAAATCAGTAACCCCTAAATATGGTGTAACTAAACACACAACCTTCTGACGAAGATAATAAGAAGGCATCTAACTTACCTCCTGTTTCCTCGTCCGTTCTCTTATATCCATAGTTGACCGTGCTACATACAGCACCTATCTCAGGTGACACCTGCTGCACTTCAAAGAACTAGATTTCTTTCCTGTATCGCAGAAACACATACAGACGTAAAGATACTTTCATGTTCCAAGCCAATGAAGCCGCCTTACTATTGCATATTAACTACAAACATCGATATATAGCCAGGACAAGAACAGTCTCTAAAACGTTTCGAATGAGCAAAAGTATCATTTAAAGCCATCAAAGCCATCTAAACATAGTGAAAATACTTCCTTATTCATTCGACATCAACATTTAATCTGTATGCTGGAGAAATATGCTTCAATTTCCAAGTGTTTGTACTCCATACCCTGCTACTCTTGTCAAGGGTACTATATACACCTGTTACTTCCGGGTTTTACCTGAACTTTTCCAGAAGTGTCTCGTGAGAGTTTGATCACCGTGTCCAGTTCTTTATGACCTCTGGGAGGGTCTTAGACTCTCCAGGAATCGAAGGCTGTTGGTTCTGACGTCACAAGACGCACAGGTGAGTCCTCAAGGCGTCTTAAAGACGGAGTAGGTCCGCTATACGTCCGCAGGTGAGAATGGGTCACATGATTCATAGCGCACGCGATGACGTATTTGTAGTAACGGGGTGAATGACCTCGGGACGGTTTGCCGGTATACTGGCTGTAGTTAGTGTGGGACGTGTATATCTTAGATGACTGTTAACCTTATATAGCTTGTATATCTTAAATTCATTGTTAACATTATATAGCGTGTATATCTTAGATGACTGTTAACCTTATATAGCGTGTATATCTTAGATTCATTGTTAACCTTATATAGCGTGTATATCTTAGATGATTGTTAACCTTATATAGCGTGTATATCTTAGATTCATTGTTAACGTTATATAGCGTGTATATCTTAGATTCATTGTTAACATGATTATATAGCGTGTATATCTTAAATGATTGTTAACCTTATATAGCGTGTATATCTTAGATTATTGTTAACCAGACTTTCTGCAACCTATGATCCACTGCTCACGAAGTCACGTGTTATCTGTGTGACGTAACGGAAGCGGTAGATTGTTTACTCCTTGACAAAGACTGGAGTTGTACAGTCGAACATTTGGGTGAGTTCATTTTCTTGTGTTGGAAATTACAGTTTAAACTTTCTTCATAATTTGTAGGTCTTATCAAGTCTTTAAGACGTACCCACCTACCAAGTGTCATGACAATGCATATCAAGCTTCTTGATTTATGCTGTTTACAGACAAACAGACAGACAGACGGACACACGCTACTGAAAACATAACCTTCTTGGCGTAGTCTTTTGGTCAATTTTTTTTGTTTATTTCTGTAACAAAGTCATTGACGTGCTGGAAGACGTACATGTAACATATAATATCTGCGAATTCAGGGCAGCAAAGCCTTTGACCCACAGGTTGTTCACCTCTGACCTCACGATACGGCGGAAGGACAAAGCTGTTCGAGTTCCGGTTCACGTGAGGAGAAAAAACGTCCATAGGAAGCAGGTAAGGCTTGTATCCTTTATCATGTATATATTTTTATGTTGTAGTTATCGCAATTCAATTTTATGTATACATTCCTAGCTAGATGATATTCTAAAGCTGTTAAAAGGTGGGAACTGATGTAAAGAAACATGCAATTCAGCCTCCGGGCTGCAAAATGTTTTTAATCAATAAACCGGTCATCATCATCAAACGGGCAGCAAAGTATTCTCTAAAAGAGGGTAACAGTTTAAGGTCACTTTAAGGTCACTCTAATAGATGGCAAAAGGATCACGGTAAAGTTTTTTCAGGGGTTATTTTATGTGTGACTGTCGGTACATTCTTTAAGGGGGGGGGGGGCAATCAAATATTAAAACCACTCAGATTTTTACGTGAGACCGGTACCCTCGCCAACTAAAGTAACACTTTGACATTTATGTGAATATTAGAAAAAAGGAATACAATGTAATATTTTCACAGACGTTGTAGAAACAAAGTAGAAAAGCGTTATTGTCGACTTTGTAGAAGATCTGAAAGTGGACATTTCCAGATACTTGCCCAATTATCTGAAACTGGGGTGAAAGCTATGATTGACAGAATAGGGTCAGACTGACTGTAGAGACAATAGGAAATTGTATGGTACGTGTGAACAGTTTAAGGGGCAGTGGGTGAAAAGGGCAGGGACAGACAATTAGGACGGCCTGCGTGCACTTTTTACACAAGGCGTTACTAATCAAGTCTTCGTAATCTGTAGGCAGCCGCCCCAAATCATCGGAATTCGTAATCAATATATTTACCTTTAACGCGTAACTGTTTATACAGTAATCAGCTCCGAGAATTTTATGTAATTCGTAATCGGCGGTGTTACTACACCACCCCCCACCCGCACATGTAAAGACACTAAACCTACTTGGATATTGGAGTGCTGCCCCGACGGCTGACTAAGCTATGGGCGAGTGAGTGTTAGTGAGTGAGTGAGTGAGTGAGTGAGTGAGTGAGTGAGTGAGTGAGTGAGTGAGTGAGTGAGTGAGAGTGAGTGAGTGAGCATACAGTACAGAGTGCATTCTATGGTCTCTTTTTACAGTTTAGTGAGTGAGTGAGTGAGTGAGTGAGTGAGTGAGTGAGTGAGTGAGTGAGTGAGTGAGAGTGAGTGAGTGAGTGAGTGAATGAGTGAGTGAGCATACAGTACCGAGTGCAAAGAATCGTACATTCTATGGTGTCTATTCACAGTTTAGAGGACGGATGAGAGGCTGAATGAGTGAGTGAGTGAGTGAGTGTGTTAGTGAGTGAGTGAGAGGGTGAATGAGTGAGTGGGTGAGTGAGGGTGAATGAATGAGTGAGTGAGCGAGTAGAATGAGTGAATAAGTAAGTGAGTGAGTGAGTGAGTGAGTGAGTGAGTGAGTGAGTGAGTGAGTGAGTGAGTGAGTGAGTGAGTGAGTGAGTGAGTGAATATACAGTACAGTGTGCAGACAATCGTACACTCTATGGTGTCTTTTCACAGTTTAATGGTGACGGGTCAGTGAGCAAATAGGGCTAGGACTGTGACATACTTGTATGAGGGTCTGCATTGGGGGGGTGGGGTGATTATACGTCGCATTACACAGCATTATGGGCGAAACCCGTAGTCAAAAGTAGTCTGGGCACAGTAGTACGGCACAGTACTTGAGAAAACTGCCGAGATTCAAGATAGCGAGGTCAAAACTATTCTGGATTGTAGAAGAATGCATCGGGTTTAACAGTATAATTTAAATCAGGATGTTTGTTCGGCCGGGGTCGATTCACGCCTGGATGCTGTTACGACCCAGTACTGTGCGTCAGCTGCAGTTCACATGATTCCCGCAAAGCGCCAAAGTTGAGCTGATTTTCACATATTTTGTAGAACCCAGTGGAAGTGAATACCATCGATAGAATTAATTGTCAAATTTGTTTACTTGCCATACCAGTGGTATGATGTAACTAAAAGAGTAGACTACTGATATTGGGGGGGGGGGCGAATCGCTGTGACATCAGGTGTATGTAAATCAGGCATAGACTTTTAGGGTCATTATAGTCAACAAGTTCTAATTATTGAAATAAAATAATAATATTACTATTACAGATTCAGATAAAATTCAGATAAACTATACTTAAATCATATATAAGTATGAAGTATAATTTGTTCAACTGTGGCTTCCCTCTACACACCAGAAATGGAATATTCCAGCTGCGAGCATTCTACGGTAGACCTGTGTTCTCGACATCCCGGGAAGAAGATGGACTGTACTGAACACCCTGGGAAGAAGATGGAGTGTACTGAACACCCTGAGAAGGAGATGGAGTGTACTGAACACCCTGGGAAGGAGATGGACTGTACTGAACACCCTGGGAAGAAGATGGAGTGTACTGAACACCCTGAGAAGGAGATTGACTGTACTGAACACCCTGAGAAGGAGATGAGCTGTCCAGAACACACTGGGAAGAAGATGAGCTGCTCTAAACACCCCGGGAAGGAGAGTGGCAGCAGGGAGAACCAGACAACAGACATGAGCCCGCAGCAGGAAACGTGTGATGTGAACTTTCCCCGACCTGTCAACAAATCAACCTCAAAGGTACAGGGGAGCAAAGGTGATATGGGAAGGCACATGGTTAAACACACTGGTGAGAAACTCTACATGTGTGGGGAGTGTGGGTACAGAACAGCTGACAGATCGACCTTATCCCGACACATGAGAACTCATACTGGAGAAAAACCGTACAGATGTGACCAGTGTGACTATTCTGCAGCACACAAATCCAGTTTGGACAAACATCTCACAAAACACACTGGTGAGAAACCCTACATGTGTGAGGAGTGTGGGTACGGAACAGCTGAAAGATCGACCTTAATCCGACACATTAGAACCCATACAGGAGAAAAACCTTACAGATGTGACCAGTGTGACTATTCTGCAGCACGCAAATTCAGTTTGGACAGACATTTATCAATACATGCTGGTAATAAACCCTACATGTGTGAGGAGTGTGGGTACGTGACAGGTCATAAGTCTCACTTAACCCACCACATGAGGACTCATACAGTAGAAAAACCCTACAAGTGTGACTATTCTGCAACACAAAAATTTCACTTGGATCAACACCTTACAAAACACACTGGCGAGAAACCCTACAGGTGCGACAAGTGTGTGTACAGGTCAGCTTACAAGTCTCAGTTATTGCAACATATGAAAACTCATACAGGAGAAAAACCCTACAAGTGTGACCAGTGTGACTATTCTGCCGCACTGAAAGCCAATTTGAAGAAACATCTAGCAAACCACACTGGTGACAAACCCTACATATGTGGGGAGTGTGGGTACAGGACAACTCACAAGTATGACTTATCCCAACACATGAGAACCCATACAGGAGAAAAACCTTTCAGGTGTGACCAGTGTGACTATTCTGCCGCACATAAATTCTCTCTAGACCAACATCTTTTTAAACACACCGGCGAGAAACCCTACATGTGTGGGGAGTGTGGGTACAGGACAGCTGATAGATCTGCCTTATTCCGACATATGAGAACCCATACAGGAGAAAAACCCTACAAGTGTGACCAGTGCGACTATTCTGCTGCACAGAAACCGGCTTTGGATCTACATCTAATGAAACACACGGGTGACAAACCTTACATTTGTGAGGAGTGTGGGTACAGGACAGCTGGCAGATCTGCCTTATTACTACATATAAGAACCCATACCGGAGAAAAACCCTACAAGTGTGACCAGTGTGACTATTCTGCTGCACAGAAACCTACTTTGGATAAACATCTAAGGAAACACACAGGTGACAAACCCTACATGTGTGGGGAGTGTGGGTACAGGACAGCTTACAAGTCAGGCTTGTCCAGACATATGAGAGCCCATACAGGAGATAAACTCTACAAGTGTGACCAGTGTAGCTATTCTGCAGACTCTAAGTCTGCCATAACTCAACACATGGAAAGGAGGCACCTACTCTACAACTGTGGTCATCTCGTATAGTGACATTTAGTACGCACGATCTTCTTATAACCACCATAGTTTCTCTCTGTAAGTAGCAAGCGTAAGTATATATATGTGTC